CAAAGAGCACTATAGTACTCGGTGACATTAATCTCAAAGTTTGGTCTTGATCTCGAAAACCTGAGAAGTATTTTCCAGATTTGAATATGTCTCATTAATGGCATCCCACAGATCTATAGTAGTCGGGAAAAACATGTATGCTTTTCGGATGTGCAGGCTCATAGAGTTGATGAGCTATGTCATGACCATGGAATTTTTAGCATCCTATTGAGGATACGTAGGATTAGTAGTCGCCGGAGCTTGAGTTGCACCAGTAACATAGCCGATGCGCGGTCCTTTGTCATGCCGGAAAAGTGAGATGCACTGAGACCATTGCAAAAGGTTTTTGCGTTCAGTTTGTGAAGGGTTATTTGCAATAATGAGTTGTCTGATGAGGCTACCGGCAAAGGAGAGGTTGACTTGTGGAGAGAGTTATCATTTGGTTTCTCCATATCAGGATGAGTTATTGGCTGATCGAAGGACATATTAGACAGATTGCATGGGTTCTGATACCATTAGAGTTGAATAAGGAGCGTTCTTATTTCTTTGTACATTGAAACAATAGGTTACAAGCAACTTAAATAGGCTGAAGCTATTCTAGGAGACACACTAATACAAGGAAAGCACTAATTACAGAATATAGACTAGACATAAATAGAAGATTGAGAATCAATCTATTTACAAGGAAATATTTACCGAATAGCTCTAAGATTATATGGCAACAACTTAGTTTAAGGTCGAAGGATATTACATCTTAGAAATGGTGTGATTTAGGTATGTTATGGGAAGTAAAAATTTGGCATCAGATGGTTTAGTTAAGTCCATTTATAAGGTACTCATAGATTCTATTTTCATTGACATAATGACTTTGTGGTTAACAATGAGGCACTCATCGCTTGAATTGGTTTACTGACATAATGAAATTATGACTTTATGAGACAGTGACATTGCTTCAAAACTTTATGGTTTATGGTCTCTTCCCTCAGTATGGCTATTATTTGTATTTATTTGATATAGTTTGGACAAACAATTTTACTAATGTCATAATTGTAGTATTGTAGATGGGAAATACAATTTGGTATTAACATTATAATCTCAGTTCATCACAGTCAGTAAAGGGCTTATAACAGATGGAATATTAAACGAGTTTCTGTCAGCAAGTTTCTGAAAGTAGTACAGAAGTGGTATATGTCTATTTGAAACTATGAACCAGGTTAATGTAGGTCATGAACCTTTTTGTTTTTTGTTTTTTGTTTTTGGGAGGAGGGGGAGTGCACGAGCAATGATTGTCAAATGAGATGAAGCATACTTTTCTGTAACCGGTCTTATTATTGCCTTTTTCTATCATATTTTTAATACAAATATATTGTGCATAACCAGGGGCTTAGGACAGAAGATAGTCTTTTCTGGTAAATCCAAACCAAAGCAAACAGACCCGATATATTTTACAAGGAAGTAGGGTCCAGGGGTGGGGGGGAGTTTTTCCTGAAGCCTCCGGCTGGCGGAAAAGATTTGAAAAGCGTTAGCTAGAAGCCACAGTTTTTACACACATCACATTAGGAAAGATCTATGTGATATAGAAGATGATCATAAGAGTAATAGAAACATATAGTACATGGAAGTTCCTCTATCATTTGTTGGAACAGTAAGTACCTCTTACAATAACAAATGGCTGGCTCGAGCTCCTATAATGGCCCTTTCTTTATAGGTGTTAGAAAATATAGCTAATCTTAACCATTTCAGATAGAAGAAAGTGTTTGTTATTGCTTGTTGACACCAACCCTACATCTTTGGTTCAGTGTGTTGCTTGCTTCAGTAGTTTCTGAATTTTCTTCTTTGATGTGAAGATGATTAACAAATTCCCAGAATTCCAATCTAAAGAATTTGTTTGTTCTAAATTAACCATATGGCTGCTTAACTATTGTTGTTCTTTGTAATCTGGTCTTTAACTATCTGTGGTTTTTGCAGCAAAAGCAAAAGGTGAACAAACCAAGGCTTTTCTCCGAGTCTTAAAGTATACGAATGGAGGAGTTCTTGAGGTATATATCAGAACCTTTTCTTCTCTCTTATCATTTGCTTTTTCATACCTATAATGTGCACAAACAGAGCATGTTCAGTTTTAAGAGTATTAATTCTGTGTTTGAAGGTTCTTTCCATCATTTGAACTGAAGCCATGATTTTTTTTTATCGAGGGGAACCTTTTTTTTATGAGCCCTACCCTGTATCTTTCCCGAACATCTCTTTTTATACTAGAAACCAGAAAATTAATCCCATTTGGATATGAGAAATATGAGCATCACATTTAGACCTTTTAGAATTTTAGCAATTATGAGCTGTCTTGAAGGAAAAATCTACCATACAGAATTTACTACTTTTGTTATATCTTAACTTTTTGCTTTTTAGATGTCATGGTCCTTTAAGTTATTTTTCCAAATCCCTACATGTGTAGCCTGCAAAAATATACAAGCTGAGGCGTCTTGCGAAGATGGAGGTTGTAACTAGTGACCACAGTGGATGCACATTCATGCTGGTAATGGTTCTCGATGTCTATGAAGTATTCTAGGCTTCTTTCAAGTAATCACAGCTTTAAGAAATGGAGTTTTCTTTTCATGTTAGAGAGATTGCTCTATAGCTTGCTTCATGAACTAATCTGCCAATAGGGTTTTGATAATATTAGAAACCAGAGAGTTGCACCTATTCAGTGGACCATGCGCAATCTCGATGAGAGGTAAATTTTCCCAGTTCCATTTGCTTCAACCTTTAATATGACAGATATGTTAGTCTGTAATTCTCATGCATTTTTTGATGTTTAGGAATCGTCTCTTGGTCTGTATTCTTAATATCTGCAAAGACGCAATGGGTCATCTACCGAAAGTTGTGGGTATTGATATTGTGGAGTTGGCTCTTTGGGCCAAGGTGCGTATGAGTTTTCCTAGTCCTATTGTTTATGTAGACATGTCTCTCTCACTAAAAATAAGGTTAATGCTTTGGCACTTGTGTTACATAGCTGCTGTGACTACACACATTATACCTCATCAAGTTTAATATTTTACTTTGCAATTTAAGTAGTCTGACCTGTGATTGAGAAAGAAGAAGATGACATTGCAATTTAACTAGTTTGATTTGACTATGTTTTCTTCACCTGTAATGTACACTTCTGGAGATAAAAAGATTTGAGTTATTTTAGTATATTGCTTGATGATAAGTTTATAAACTCCACAAGGGATGGATAGAGGTGATAATTTGTAAATATAAATTATAAGCTGGTAGCAAAATCTTCATCTTCTTCGGCTGTGCAGTTTATGATTCCCTCTGTCCTTCAGTAGTTGTGCAGGAGCCTTTCTCATTTCTCTACCTTTTCTGTTCCTTTCCTTGTTTAATAAAATATTTTCTTGTTCGTTTTTTGGTGATACTGAAAAGTTAAGCATAAGATGCAGGAATATTTGGTTATTGTTCTTACTTCTTACACATGAGGTCTCACACTTTGTGTTAAGCCAAGTTGACCATCTTCGTAAAGCCTCAATTCAGACTCCAGCTACTTAAATGTGCCTGATTATGAGCACTTTTGGCTTCCCACTGATTTGGTTTAACGTTTATCCATACCCTTGAAGACGGTACCATACATGTATAGAGGCTTTCTGTTGTAGTGATCATGTTCTCCTTCAATTGTATATGACACATAATGGTTCTATACCTCATAACGTGTGCTCCACTCTTCCCAACTTTATGTGGTATGAGGGACATTGGTGAGCAGAGCAATCATTGGCCCTTTCTTATGGCCTATACGTTCAAACATCTCAAGTCTCCTCAGAGAGGAACTGAGTCCAAAAGTGTGCCATGTTCTTCTTAGCCATAAAGAGCATACATGGTCTCATCACATCTTGGATGGACCACCAATGAATGGCCTTGGCTACAACAGAAAATATCACATTTAGTCATTTACAGATTGTCATGACTACGAGTTCACAAGCTTCATTGTAGCTTCCTCTCTCCTCTGCCTTAATGCTTTGACTTCTTCCTTCACATTATGTCCTTTTGGATATCTTCTTGATCTTTTCTCCCAGGCTGTTCTTTTTCTTCAGATTGTCTAATGCTAGATTCCCATGGCCCAATATTTTTGATCATACATCTTATTCATTCTTGCACTTGTGCCTCTCACCTTTTAGGAAGCAACCTTCAGTGCATCAAACTGCTTGTAAGGTCCCTCTTCTACTTTGAAGTATTGTTAAACCAACTAGACTTCTCTAGGAACTTTCTGTTGTGCACCAACACTTTCATGTTATGAGATAAAGTTAATTTTAGTCAGTGGATTGAAGTTCACACCATTGTCAATCAGGGCCATTTAGCATCTTAATTGGTGCCACCTATAGTATTTAGTCTCCCCAAGAAGTTAATCTGGAGGATAAGGAAGTACATTGGAATTAAAGGTGAACAATATTTGTCTTGGTCTTTCTATGTCATTTGGCCCTTGATCCTACAGTTATCCTTTTAAGTACTTTATTCTAATTGTATCCCTTGTATATAACATTTGTTTTGCAACATAGTGCTTTTACTTGTATAGGAACATACATCAGCAGTTTCTAAGCTAGATAATGATGAAGATGGAGGCACAGATGTGGGTTCAGAAGGTGACTCCATGGTTACAATGGAAAATGATCTTGTGTCGCAAGCAGAAGAAGAGGACATGGAAGCTCTTCTAGGCACGTACGTATAATTTTCTTCTGTGAATACTAAAAAATTACATGTCCTAATCACTTAAGATATATGTCATGCGACCCATCTCTGAGTTTATATACATACATATATATATATATATATACATATACAGCTAGTATTTTTTTATCTAGAACATATTATTTGCATCCAGAAATTCTATATTGCTACATTAGAAGAAAATTTTCTTTCTTTTAATACTCACATGTCGGGAAGTTTGTCTAGCCCTGAAATAAATGTTTTCCAGAGAGGAAATTAGAAAATCTTCTCTTGTTTCTCTTTTTTGTTTGTGATTACTATTACTATTACTATTACTATTACTATTACTATTACTATTACTATTACTATTACTATTACTATTACTATTACTATTACTATTATTATTATTATTATTATTATTATTATTATTATTATTATTATATTTATTGTTATTGTATTTCTGAAATTGTCTTTGATAATTGCTTCTATATGAAAGGAGTTTGTGGAAGGATTCATGTTTTTTTTAATGGCAACCCCTAAGCCGGCCCTTACTCCCCCCCCCCCAAAGAGCATCATCTGAGAGGCAAATCAGGTACACAGCGATGCACTAGGTGGCTAGCTTAAGATCCCAGTGCCCCAAGGAGCCCAATCCCCAAATGAGTTGTAACTCCGCTGCCAGACTCGAAGCCTTGCTTGTTTTTGCTTCTATTTTGCGGGATCGTACTTGGTACATACATTACTTTCAAATACGTAAGTTAGGGTGCTTAATTTATCTTGTTTACTACGTTCCCAAGTGGGAGAGTTGGACGTGAAGGTTAATTGAGGTGAAATAACCAGCCATCTTATGTTCCAGACATCAAACTTATCATTATAGGATTATCTTAATCTGCTTCTGATGATGGTGGTAATAATATTGTGCCCAGATATGTCATGGGCATTGGGGAAGCAGAAGTCTTTTCTGAAAGGTTGAAACGAGAACTTCACGCTTTGGAAGCAGCAAATGTGCATGCAATTTTGGAAAGCGAGCATTTGGTAGATGAGGTAAAGCGCTTATATTGTAGGGAAATATGAATGTTCCATTACATTTAGGAACAATTAGGCTTCTTACTGGTAGGATCATTATATCCTTTTCCTGTCGGATTGGTCTATACTTGTAAAAGTGGGCCCTTTTGTTCATTCTAAAACCATTGAGCTTGTTATCATTCATTTAGCAATCACACAGCCTGAATAAATTCTACGTAACATGAATTCCATCATACAAACATTCTTCAATATACTCTTTGGTAAGCTACCTGCTGGTCTTCGGTGGTGTATACATCATGTACTAAAAAACATAATAGACTTTCTTACTGATTAATAGCCACTTGTCTAGTTTTTGACTTTCTGCCAAACACAGTATTCTCCATGTCTTCTTCTTTATTGTTCTGCAGGTGTTGCGGGGACTTGAGTCAGCTACAACTTATGTTGAAGACATGGACGAATGGCTGGCGATTATTAATGTGAAGCTCAGACATATGCGGGAGGACATCGAGGCGGTATGGACATCCTTTAGTTTTACTTGTATATTTTATTTTTGTAGTACCATTGATGATTATTCTAATAAACATGCTAGTCGAGTATTATAATTCATATATTAATGTGTAAAAAGTTACATTGGTTGCTAATTATGGGTTATTCTATTAAGTGACAAATTTCAATATCTAGGAGTAACTGTTTCATGTCATACCATGTTCCAGAAAGTGTTACTTGTCTCTTTTTGTAGCGTTGTACATAATTTGCAAATCTTATCTCAAGTGTCCAATACTGAGCATTGTTATCCTCTGATTAAGCCACATCCATTCATGAGTATTGCGTAACTTTTTGCCTCTTTTGTGAGACAAGAGTCCCAAATACATCACATGATCACGTTAAGGTACAAATAGGGATCTAATGATCTCAATAAAAAACAAAAACTCCAATATCATAATAATCGGAGATGAACAAGACCTACATAAAGTACATTTTGAAAAATTCAGTAATTAAAGGATAATTTAAGGCAAAACCTTCTCCTGTGATGAATCTTGGAACAAATGTTCCTATACCTGACACTATGGGGGACTCTTCCATCTCCTAACAAAGCGTCTGATGTTCTCATTGCCTACAGTTGTGTTTGTGTTTATCAATCTCTTCAACTACTTTATCTTTGATGATATTCTTATGATCACCTATTTTCTAGCTATCTTGCCTTTGTGTTATCTTCGGACAATTATCATATTTCCTGAGTTGCGTTTGAGGCTCAGGCTCATCTTGGATGGCACCAAACAATGCATGAGGAAAAATCTGCCCTTCTTTTCAATTAGACATGGGATCTTGTTAATCTTTCCACCGGAAAAGAACTTGTGGTTGTAGGTGGGTATTCTCTGTTAAAAAATTAAAATGAAATCATGTGGCTCTCTTTCTAATCACAAAGCTAGTCGCTTAAGACTACATTCACAGTATGGGGAAGACTATTTTGAGATGTTCAGTTCTGTTACCAAGATGTTCCGTTATTGCCAAGGCTGTCATTCACCACTGGCTATTAAACCAACTTCATACCAACGATGCGTTTTTAAATGTTGTTCTTCAGGAGAAGTTTATATGCAACAACCTCCAGGCTTTGTGGTTTAGGGGGGTCATCTAAAGTTACTTTTGGCTATCTCTTTATGCCTTAAACTAACTCCACGGGTTTGGGTTCTTGATTCTCCCAAGCCTAGAATCTTTTGGGATGACTCAGAGTGCCTATAATTACTTTGTACCCTTTTGTCATCAATGTTACGAAGGATCTTATTGGTGTTTTATGTTGATGATATTTATTGTGATAGTGAGCGAATTGTAGCTTGCAAAGTCTTTATTTAGAACCAGTTTCAAATCAAATATCTGTTGTACCCTAGGTATTGGGTTTAAATAGTCAAATATGGTAGGCTAAGGTACAAGTGCCTAATGCAGTAGTACAAGTAGTTGATGCAAGAGTAGTATTAGTCAGGTAGTATAAATAAGGGAGGTTAGGTCATTAAGGTTTTATCGATCAGTTCATGTGTTTTTCGGGCCAGAGCTTTGGGAGACATCCGGCAGTCTCAAAGTGTTGGAGCAGAGCACGTGCCTTTGAAGTTTGGATTTATGTTTCTCTCAGTCGATGATAGTCCTAGTCATTAGGAACGTTTTCTTTTGATCGATTAATAAGCTCGACTTAATCTTCCAGTGTTAGTTGCTTTCTTTTAGCTATTTCAGTTTCTTGTACGGCTCTATACTTTAATTAAGAGTTCAGTTGTGCAAATATGAGCAGTAGCTTTTGTTTCTTTGTTAAACAATTGGTATCAGAGCCTGTTACAGAGAGGAGAGGAACTCTTGAGAGATAAACACGAGAGGAGAGGAAGTCTGAGAAAGTATGGCTGACAGTAGTAACAAGAACATGTTTGTTCAACCTGCCATTCCAAAGTTCGATGGCTTCCACGAGCACTGGGAAAAATTAATGGAGAACTTTCTGCGATCCAAAGAGTATTGGAGTCTGGTTGAAGAAGGGATTGATGTTCCACAAGGAAGAGAGCCAACAGTAGCAGAAGCAAAGGTGATTGCTGACCAACAGCTGAGGGACAAGAAAGTGAAGAACTACCTTTATCAAGCCATTGATAGAGAGATCATGGAGACAATCTTGAATGATGAAACTTCGAAGCAGATTTGGGACTCTATGAAACAGAAGTACAAGGGCTCAATACGAGTTAAAAGAGCACAAGTTCAAGGGTTTAAGACTGAATTCGAGACGTTAAGGATGAAAGAAGGAGAAACAATCAACACGTATTTTGGAAGAACCTTGTCTATAGCAAAACGAATGAAGGCATATGGAGAGACTATCAAAGATAGTGACATCACGGGGAAAATTTTGAGGTCCCTTGTTCCAAGATTTAACTACGTTGTATGCTCCATAGAAGAATCCAACAACGTAGAGACCTTAACTGTAGACGAACTTCAAAGCAGCCTTTTAATTCATGAACAAAGGATGAAGGGGTTGATCGAGGAACAACAAGCACTAAAGGTCAAAAAAATTTTAAACCTATCAAAAAAAGGTATCATTTGAAGAACGGTATGGAAGAGGAAGAGGAAGGCATGCTACACGGACGAGGAAGGGGCAGAGGCAGACAACAATTCAACAAAGCTTTAGTGGAGTGTTATAGGTGCCATAATCTGGGGCACTTGCAATATGAGTGCCCTAATTGGGAGAAAAAGGCAAACTACGCAGAATTTAATGACCAAGAAGAGATGATGTTAATGGCACACGCTGATTTAAGTCGAAGGAAGAAAGAAGGGGTATGGTTCCTTTATTTTGGATGCTCGAACCACATGACGGGTAACAAGGATTGGTTTATGCAACTAGATGAAAGCTTATTTCATTCAGTGAAACTTGGAAATGACTCTAAGCTGAAGGTTATGGGAAAGGGGAACATCAAAATTGAATTTAAAGGTTAGTCTCGCACTGTGACTCGAATTATGCAACAACTTGCTTAGTATGGGCCAGCTTCAAGACAGAGGCATAAGCATTCTGATTGATGATGGGGTGTGCAAGTTGTACCACCCAAAAAGTGGTTGTATTATGGAGTGCATCATGACAGCAAACAGGATGTTCATTGTAGATACGAACATTCTCACCAACAATTCTGCATGCTTTAATGCCAATACGGAGGAAACAAGTGAGCTCTGGCACAAGAGATTTGGGCTCTTGAGTTACAAGAACTTGGCTCCTCTTTGTAACGAAAATATGGTTCGTGGAATGCTGACGATTAAAATAGCAAAAGGGGTCTGTACAGGTTGCATGGTTGGGGAAACAAAATCGAGCACCGTTTCCAAAGACGAGCATCTGGAGAGCAGCAAGACAGCTACAACTAGTACATTCAGATCTCTGTGGGCCAATTTCTCCGGAGTCACATGGCAATAAAAGGTATATACTGACCTTCACAGATGACTTCAATGGCAACCTATGGGTCTATTTTTTAAGTGAAAAGAGTGAGACTTTTGGAACTTTCAAAGTATTCAAAGTTATGGTAGAAAGGATTGTGGCTTTCAGATATGCAGTTTAAGAACTGACAGGGGAGGGGAGTTTAACTCCAAGGAATTTTCAGATTTTTGCACTTCATAGGGCATCAAGAGGCAACTAACCACAGCATATATGCTGTAGCAGAACGGAGTATCTGAGCGTAAGAACCGTAAGATTCTTAATGAAGTGTGCTGTCTCCATGAAGAGAAGAAGATGCCCAAAGCTTTCTGGCCCGAAGCAGCAAAATGGATATGTCATGTTATCAATAGAAGCCCTACATCAGCAGTAAAGTACAAAACCCCGGAGGAGTGTTGGAATGGCTTAAAACCCAACGTTGAGTACTTCTGGATTTTGGGCTGCTTGGGAAATGTATATGTGCCAGCGGAAAACAGAAAACAGGTTCAAGTTGGATGCTAGGAGTTAAAAACTTGTGAGGATTGGATACAGTGAAGAGTCTAAAAGGGTATAAAATGATAAATCCCTTGAACATGAAAGTCACAATCAGTCGTGATGTCATCTTTGAGGAACAAGAATGCTGGGATTGGGGGAGGACAGATGGAAAAGCAAGAAATGTCACTCTTGATTGGGGAGAAGCATATGAAGACATTGATGATGGGCATGAAAATGATAACGACACCGAAGATGGAGTAGTTGAAGAGGCTGGTAGTTCATCTTCTAGTGAACAGGTAACTCCTACGGTTCTTCCAGCACCAGATAGAAGAGATGGCAATTCATCTTCTAGTGAACATGTTACTCCTATGGTTCTTCCACCACCGGATAGAAGAGAAAAAAGGGCACCAGCTTATCTCCTAGACTACACAAGCGGAGAAGAATTCTCGGTGGAAGAGGTACAAAATTTCCTTATGTTTATGTCTACTGATGATCCAGTTTCTTATGAGGATGCAGTAAAATAAAAAAGGTGGAGGGATGCCATGAATATGGAGATAGATGCTATAGAAAGAAATCACACTTGGCTACTCGTTCAACAACCAGATGGAGTTAAAGTGATAGGCGTAAAGTACCGAATGAACGAAGATGAATGAGAACGGGGAAGTAGACAAGTGCAAAGCTTGACTAGTGGCGAAAGGATATGCACAAGAAAAGGTATCGACTACAACGAAGTTTTTGCCCCTATTTGCTAGATGGGATATGATTTGAATGGTGATAGCATTGGCTAAAAGGAATGGCTGGAAACTCTAACAAAAATGCACGGAAATCTTGACGAGGAGGTATATGTTGCTCAACCACTGGGATATGAAGTCAAAGGTGAAGAAACCGAGGTCTATAAACTGCAAAAGGCCTTGTATGGCATAAAGCAGGCTCCATGAGCCTGATTTTGTAGCATTGAATGCTATTTCACGAAGGAGGGATTTGAGAAAAGCTGCTATGAACACACATTGTTCATCAAGAAGGTGGAAAGCAAAATCCTAATTGTAAGTCTTTATGTTGATGACCTTGTTTTTACGGGTAATGATTTGATGATGTTGCAAGCTTTCAAAGACTCTATGAAAAGAGAATTTGAAATGTCTGACTTGGGGGAAATGAAGTATTTCTTGGGAGTTGAAGTGCGCCAAACTGAGAAAGAGATCCATATCAATCAAAAGAAATACGCACAAAAAATTCTTGAAAGATTTGGCTTAAGTGATTGTAATGGAGTAAAAATTCCCATAGTACCTGGGAGCATCTCAAAGAAAGATGGAGGGAAACAAGTTGATGAAACTCTATTTAAGGAAATGGTGGGAAGTTTGATCTATATGACCGTCACTAGACCAGACTTGATTTACTCTGTGTGTCTCATAAGCAGGTTCATGTCTAGTTCAAAGGAAGCACATATGATGGCAGCCAAAAGAATTCTGAGGTACATTAAGGGTACCATTGATATAGGAATTTTTATGAAAGAGGACGCACAGATACAGACAGCGACTATGCACGTGATATTGATGATCGCAAATGCATGTCAGGCTTTGTGTTCATGTTAACTGGTGGAGCAGTTGCATGGACCTCCAAGAAGCAACCTATAGTGAAGCTGTCAACTACAGAGGCAGAGTATGTGGCTGCAGCTCTGTGTGCAAGCCATTGTGTTTGGATGCAACAGGTTCTGAAGCAGATTGGAGGCACTCAGTCTAAAGGTGTTAAAGTTTATTGTGATAATTCTTCTACCATCAAGCTTGTAAAGAATCCAGTTTTTCACTGGAGGAGCAACATATCGACGTAAGATTTCATTTCTTAAGGAATCTCACAAATGATGGAACTCTTATCATGGAGCATCGTGGAACTAATGATCAGCTTGCAGACATCATGACCAAGCCACTAAAAATTGGAGCAATGCGAAATTATTAGAAGATTGTTGGGAGTACAAGCAACTGATGAATAAATCAAATATTGTGTGCATGTTTGATTTAGGGGAGGAATTGTTGGAGCAGAGCACGTGCCTTTGAAGTTTGGATTTAGTTTCTCTTAGTCAATGATAGTCCTAGTCATTAGGAACGTTTTCTTTTGACCAATTAATAATCTGGACTTAGTCTTCCAGTGTTAGTTGCTTTCTTTTAGCTATTTCAGTTTCTTGTACGGCTATATATACAGCCCTTGTTCTTCATTTTAATCAAGAGTTCAGTTGTGCAAATACTAGCAATAGCTTTTGTTTCTTTGTTCAAAACGAAGTCCCTCGAAATCGATTGTAACCCTTCGATTGTTTGTAGTTAATACGAATCATTCTCTAATATGTTGTTATTGATTCGGTTTGTATCAATATCTAGGAAACCTCAACTACTTTTTAGGTATTGAGGTTGCTCGAGATCACAAAGGAATTGTCCTCTATCAGTGAAAATATGTTCTTGACATTTTTGCTGGAACTGGCATGCTTGATGGGTCATGGTACTGACTCACCAATGATCTTGAAAATCAAGCTCTATCCACAGAGAGAGAGAGAGAGAGAGAGAGCTTGTAGATGATCCAGGAAGATACACGAGATTGGTATGGAAATTAAAGTATCTCACTGTGACACGGCTGGATATTGCTTTTTTAGTTGGTATAATTAGTCATTCATGCCTTCTCCTCATACTTATCACAGGGATGTAGTTATACATATCCTAGATACCTCGAGGGTTTTCCTAGGAAAAGACCTTGTCTCACACAAGGCCACATCCAATATTCTAGGCCATCCATGCTGCATGTCCGTATAGTTGAAGATCTACTACATAATATTGTGTTTTCTTTGGTGAAAATCTAGTATTTCACGAAAGGAAGAAAAAATATACGGTTTTCTTGTCTAGCGCATAATCTGAATATCGAGCCATGGCTTGGACAACATGTGATTTAATGTGGGTCTGATGTCTAACTCAAGAGTTGGGTGATCTTACAAGTGAGCTAATGGGAATGTATCGCGATAATGGGGTTTGCTGTTATGCTCTATATATACTATCATATTATTGAATAATAATACCTTCCTTCATGTTAACAAGTTACAAACCCTAGTTTGAAAGATAAGAATTGAAGCATAAGAAAAACGATTCTATACAATCTAATGAATTATGAATAAATGGGAAAACATTCCTTAGACATATAAAATGATATTAAGATATTTAAGAATCGAATGGAAGACAATCCATACAAGTCTATGCTAATCCAAAGATTTGCCAGTCATGAAAAATATGAATCCATATCTTGGAGCTGCTCCAAGAAAACCCATAATCCTCGAGATCTTCTCCTAGAAGAATACTCATGTCTCCTCCAGACCCTAGTTCTCCCCCTATCTGATACCTATAATTTTAGGAGTTTTAGAATGAAACCTATTGGACTTGTATATCTGCGATCTTACACTTAATTCTCAAATGTTATCCATAAACATTAAGATCCACAAATATCGGGTAAAATAACTAAGCCCAAGTCATATAGATGAACTAAAACCTTTAGAGATAAGAAAAACAAAAATTAAATCCTTAGATAACATATAGCAAAATACAGGACGTTAGAGGTTGATAAGATTGGAAGTTGAACATTTATCAATGAAATTCCTAAAACCTCGTTAATTCTTTAGTCAAAGTCCACATGGCTGTTTTAAGAGAAATTCACATGGTATCGAGTGTTTAGTAAGTTGTATGTCTCTGTTATTTGCCACGAGACTTCTTTGACAGTGCTTTTATAATATTTCAAATTGTGGTCACAGATAGAAGCACGCAACAACAAGCTGGAAATGCAGTCTATAAATAATAAAGCTTTGAGTGTGGAACTGGATACGCTTCTTGATAGATTGCATATCCCTCCCGAGGTACATTATTTCCAGCTGGAATTAACTTGTTTGATCATCTGTTTGATCGTTCTGTATCCATTCCAGATTATAGGTCTAACAGCAGTCTCCTTTGATGAGGCGTCCATGCGTCAAAATATTAAATTATGTGATCGGCTAAGGGACGCTTTGCGTGGTCTTGATGCATCTACTTTGGGTCCGGACTATGCAAAAATTAGAGCTGTATGTGCATTGCCTATTGTTCTTTCTCCTGTTCTCTTACATTTTTTATGTTATAATGTTTCTTTTGATGTGGAAAGTAGTAATGCTTTATGCATCCCTGTCACAGTCAACCTAACCATTAGTGACGTGCTTGGTTTGTTGTTGAATTCCTTTTCTTCTTAAACTATTTACTGGGCACAAAGTTTAAGAAGGTCGACATATTTAAGTTTTGATTATGCTCTTAGAAGGCTAAAGGATGATAGAAGTACTCTGGAATATAGGATACGATGGTGCTTTGTCCCTTAAAGTTAAAGGTCCCTGGAATATCCAAAAAAGGAATGACGTATAATGGTTTACGACATACTGCTGCCATGTGAAATACTAAAAATCTTGGCATTTTGTTTATTGTAAATCTGAACATTGTTAATGTTTAGGGTCTAAATACTTGAACCATTATCACTACAAAGATATAGTGATGGTGGACACCTTATCCTGCCAAATTCATCATAGGTGAAAGCTCTTACCCTGTCCTCTATGAAAATACAAAACCTCACCCTAAAGTAAAGAGACCGTAAAAAGATGATGATGAACATCCAAATGGGTAACGGTTGGAGTAAACATAATCCAACTAGCCACAGTTGCTAGGTGATGTCTGGATGAGTAACAGCTTCACGTAAGTCTTCTTGATCAGTGTCAAGTATATATAACAAAAATAAATTTATTAAGATCCAACAGAACATAGGTAGGCTAGTGGGATAATTTCCATAGGTGATGTTTGGTTGACCCTTCCAATATTGATTGTCAAAAATGATCAGATTCAACTTAAGCTAACACTAAAAAAAGAAACATTAAAATAAATTAAGAACATAAAAAGGTTTTATTTCAATTAAAAAACGAATTACTTCTAGATTTCGATGGTTTATAAATTCTTTTTTTATGTCTCTCTATATCCCACTTGCTATTAAATTGATTGATTTGAGGTTATATGGTTATACTGTGTGATTCATCTACTTTTTTTCTTCACTAATGTGTTAGATGACAAATAGTTGGAATAATGAGAGCATTTTCACACCCAAACCACTCATCCTTGCAAGGGTTAGAAGAAAAACTTTGTTGTTTTACATTGGTCATTCAGGCAATTTAAAAGAAGAACATAGAAGAGAAATGGTTTGGTGTAAAAGGCTGAAAGCAGTAATAGGTGAGGTAATAAGCGCCACTAAATCGGCTTTTATTGAAGGAAGAAGTATCGCGAACAGCATTCTAGTGGCTGACACAACAGTAACCTTCATGAAAAGGGCTGGTCATAAAGCTTTTCTCTTTAAAAACTTGTTTTGAAAAAGTTTTCGATTGTGTCAACTGGAAGTGTTTGGAAGATTTGATGCTTCAAATGGGGTTTGGCAATCGATGATGCAAGTGGAAATTTTGGTCAATGGTTCACCTACCATAGAGTTCAACCGTGAACAAGGAGTTAGACAAGATGATCCCTTATCCTTTTCCTTATTGCGATGGAAGGGATGGATATTGTTATGAAGAAGCAAAGTCCAAGGGGCTCTTTGAAGGAGTGAAGGTGGGTGGAGACGGAGTCGAAGTTTCTCATCTTCAATTCGCTGATGATGCTCTTTTCTTTGGAAAGTGGAGTCGTGCAAACTTAAAGAACCTTAAAGCTTTACTCATTTGCTTTCAATCAGCGACAGGTCTTAGAATAAACCTCTTGAAAAGCAAGATGTATGGGATTGGGGTGGATAATGAGTCTATAGAAGAGGCGACGACAGTTATAAATTGCGAGCCGGTTATCCAAAAGTTGAAATCAAGGTTAGACGGCGGGACTGGAAAGCTTATATCGATGGGTGGAAGACTCACGCTAATTAAATCCATGCTGAACAATCTACCATTGTATTTTTTTCTCCTTGTATCGTGCCCCAATAGGCGTCGTGCGAACCCTTGAGAGATTAAGAAGGAAATTATTTTGGGGTGGGGGGTAACAGGTCGCATTATTTATCCCGGGTTCGGTGGGATAGTATAATTTATGATACTCAATTGGGGGGGTTAGGGGTGGGTTGTATTCGAGCATTTTCTTTTTGGGAAAAAGAGTATTCGAGTGTTTAATTGGGTTTTGCTGGGGATATGACTTTGGAGATTTATATTGGAGGGGGAGCGTTGTGGCATAGAACTATTTCGAGTGCTTACAGTAGAGATGGTGTCTTTAGTGATAGAGATAACAAGGGCATGCTTGAGGGCGCTTGAGGAGGAGTGGTGAAGGCGATAAGAGAAATAGAGGATTTAGTCGTTTATCATTCTCGGACTCGTTTAGCCGGAGTATTGGTGATGGGCCAAATATCGAGTTTTGGTCGGATCGATAGTTGGAGGGTTGTAGATTAAAAGATAGATTTCCTTGCTTGTGGTTGTGGGATTTAGAAAGGGTAAAAGAGGTGAAGCTGCCATATAAAATTGGTCCAGCTGGGTAGAAGGTTGGCTGTAGAGTGGGATAGAGGCCTTAGGAATAGAGCCAGTCGAGAGTTTGAGGATCTTTTACGACTGTTGCAACCTATCTCGATTAATCCCAATGGGACTGATAAGTGGGTTTGGGATTTGGATGCAAATGGGGTTTTCACTGTGAAAAAGTTGAGGAAAATGACAGATAATAGGCTGCTGGACACTCACAATGGGGCTGGAAATGCCCGATGGCGTTCTTTAGTGCCAAATAAAGTCAACGTCTTCATTTGGAGGTTGTGTAAGGGAGGGATTCCAGTGAGGGAAGTTTTGTATGATAAGCGCTTTGATTTAGACTCTAGGCTTTGCCCTAAATGCAACAGTGATGTAGAATCTCTTAAACACTACTTCCTGGATTGCCTGATTAGTGTTCAGTTGTAGGAAAAAAGTTCTTCTTGGTGTGGTGGGAATTTCCAGTCAAGAAGATCGACCGAGGAGCTGATTTCAGACATTGGTAGGGTGGTGGTGTGTCTGCTTTAGCTTCGGAGAGGGAAGCAGTCACTTGGTCTTCCCTATTCATCCTGTGGAGGAAGATAAATTATTTGGTTTTTGACAGGGGTGCTCGGATCGATATTCGGGAGCTGTTTTTCAAAATCCAGTCAACCTCCTTTCTTTGGATCTCAAACAGGGCTAAGAGCAGGAAGCCTTCTTGGATGGAGTGGTTGAGTGGCTCGTATTGGCAAAGTTAAAGGCTGTCTTGTTCATGGGTTAGGGCTGGATCTTCCTTTTCGTTTTGTGTTGTTTTGTTTTATTTCTTGGCCTATGCCTTTTGTAGTGGGTTGTTTGGTCTTTCTTGGCATTCTGGTCCTTGCAGAATTTGGCCTCTTTGTTTCATTTTGTTAGATGTGGCTTTAATTGAATTAGTTAGTTTTATTTTTCTGTTTAGCATATCTTGACTGTTTCCTATAAATAGTTGGATATCCTCATTTTGTAAAGTCTAGTCTCAATTCATAAACAAGATTCCTGCAATTCTCTCTACATAACCTTCTCTAATTTCTCAACACGTTTTTGTAATTTCTGGTTTCTCTTTCCAGTAATAAAATTATTGTCTTTAAAAAAAAAATGACATGCCCTTTCTCATGTTGTTGAACATCTCGAAAAGGTAATATTGATTTGACCTCTTGCCATGACACCGTTCCTTTCAACATTTATTCATTTGATGCTTCAATTGTTTGAGTAGGCATAGCATCTTCATATCTATTCTTCACTCCGTACTCCTTTCCGGCGAGGTCTTCAATTTCTATGTTCTACTTCTCGAAATCCTCTTCACCGGGGTAACTAAGTGTATTATGTTGTTTTGGTTCTATCTCCTCTTGCTCTTACCTAGTTTCAACAATAATAGCCTCAGTACTATAATCACAACACCTATGATATTCATCTTAAGTGCAGATTTTTTTAAGCATATCATTTGATAATAATTTTAGTACCTCGATATTCAACACAATAATCAAATGGCCCAACTAATTCGCCAAGTTTTTCTAAAGAAATTTCTTCACTTTGTAACAATTCTCCTTGTCATAAACTTCAAGGCAATATAAGGAGCTCAAAGGTTTGAAAGTGAAGAGAGAGGAAGGAAAGGGAAGAACAATAATATATGTTCTAGAGCTGGAGAGAGAAGGAAGAAAAGATGTCATTTTTACAAATATACCCTCATTTGTTATATAGTAAATTGTAATTGATGGTTAGATGTGTAATTTTATAAATACTTTCTTTTCCTCCACATTTGGGAGGAAAATCAACATTATTTTTCTTCCTTTTATTTTCCTTTTCCTCTTAAAAGAACTCAAGAACCCAAGATTGTTTTCTTTCCCCCTACTTTCCTTCCCTTTTCTCTTCCTTTCTTCGAAAAAAGAGACTCGAGAACACAACGTTTTGCTTAAAACAAAGTCTTTTTTGGAATCATCAATCTTAGAATCAAAAGCCCATGTTGGTTATAGTTTGAGATCTTATTCTTGTTTTAGAGATAGGTAAATATTCATGCACTCAATATTAGTTAATAAAGAGTCAATAATGTATGAAAAAACAAGGGTAGTTTTGAAATCCTAAATATAAATATAAGTTGGACCGTCTCTTATGGTTGGTAAGTTTTTCAAATGGGTTTTCTTAGTTAATAACAAGAAATCTACTATATTCTAATACAAAAATAGAATTCATGCGGATGGAGTAATCAAAAGAGTCGATTGGGAGATGGATGATGGAGAATATATCAAGGTTGTAAAGGCAAGTAGTTTTAGACTTTGGTACTAGATTTAAAACTTAGAGAAATAATAAGCAATACTTTTAAATTAAAGACCAATTAACTTTTTGCATATTTTCTCCACTGTAATTAATTAATACATGTTTGGGCCCTTAATAAGTTAACATAATACTAAATTCTTTTTCGGTCCTATTAGATACTAAAAATACTGTGTCTATTTTATTTACTAATACTATATAATATAATACTAACGCTTAGTGATAATTAATATATAGTTGATGTGAGTTTATACGTAAATAGTATTACATAGGTTTCCACATAAATAGCATATCAGAACGACTTGTCGATGTACAGATGATATAATTGGCAGCATGTCACCATGCCATCCTGGCTGTTGGCTACCATGCTGACTATTTATTTAGTGATTTACCTTTGTTTGATGTAAAATTTCGAAATTGGTCGTCATCAATATTAGATGGCGTGGTTTGGCTACTATGCTGTTATATCGGTCAGAATACGAAATATCGGTCAGGACCAATATTCGATATATCGGTTATATCGGTGATATATCGGAAATAGCGGTTAACATAATATTTCTTAGAATTATATATATAATATGCATTAATTAGAGTTTAGAAGTCTGAAGACTGAAGTTGAAGTCGAAGTGTGAAGAAAAGTCGAGACTGAAGACTGAAGAAGTCGAGACTGAAGTGTGAAGAAGAAGTCGAGACTTGAAGTCGAAGTCGAAGTCTGAAGACTGAAGTTGAAGTCGAAGTGTGATTTGTGAAGAAAAAGTCGAGACTGAAGTTGAACGTGAAGAAGAAGAAGACGTTGTGGAAAGATTCAGACCTAATTTAAGTTATCAGCCCAAAAAATCGCTAAATATCGCTAAAAATCGCTAAATATCGGAAAATGTCGCTAAAAATCGCTAAATATCGGAAAATATCGCCGATAATATCGTTCCCGATATTTTGACCAATATTTGAGTTCCGATTTTTTTTTTGGAGTGATCGCCGATATATCGCCGATATATCGACGATATATCGCGATTTTAACAGCATAGTTTGGCTATGTAGTGAAGAAAGACTTGGGAATACTAAATTACTCCCAACTTAAAACATAATCATAACCTATTATAAGAACTTCCCTAATTAGCATCATGAAGGTGGTAGTCATCTGATATTTCTATATATTAGGCTACATAAAATTGAACCATGTAGTGTCTGACCATTTGTATCCTAATGAAGTTCATGGAGTCTTGATTGGCTATCCTATTATAAGAACTTCCCTAATTAGCATCATGTAGGTGGTAGTTATCTGATATTTCTATATATTAGGCTACATAAAACTGAACCATGTAGTGTCTGACCATTTGTATCCTAATGAAGTTCATGGAGCCTTGACTGGCTATCCTGACACTGAGGCTGGACTTTACTTACCCTATGCTTCACTTTGTTTTCCCTAAAATTTTACGAACTACAGTAAACCAAATAATTGTATTTTATGATTTGTTGTGAACCTTGGATCAACATGGATGTGTAATTAATTAGCTGCTGAAGCTCAATAGTTATGTCCACAGTCCACTCAGCATACATACTTGCATAATTGAAAAGCTGTATTGTAAAATGACAGGTCAAGGAAAAGACGGCGGAACTTAACATCATAAAATTGACTTTTGTACGAAGAGCCTGTGAGTTTTTGAGAGACTATTTCGTTAGTTTGGTGGATTCCATGATGAATGATAAAAGCTACTTCTCTCAGGTTTGTTTCTTAGGGTGCTTTTTAGTTCTACTTTAGGATTGTCAACCAGAAATTTTACTGGTGTCTGGCAATGGGCAGCGTGGGCAACTAAAGAAGCCTGATCATGCCAATCTCCGCTCTAAATGCTGGATTTATGCTCGTCTTTTGCAACACATGAAGGTTAATTACATGGAAACTTCAATTATCAATAATAAAGAATCTTTAACTTACCTGTTAATTTATATTTACAATTCATTATAACATATATACTTTTCTTTCTCTCTCCCCCCTCATCTACACGCAGATTCTAGATAAAAATTGTCTGGGTCCTTTGAGGAAAGCTTATTGTCACTCCATTAATCAGCTTTTACGGCGTGAGGTAATGGGCATAAAATTGGGATTTTCTCTTGCATTAAAATTTGATTAATTAGTATACTGTTTATTTCTTAGAAATCTAATGCACTTGCCACATATGTGTCCAAAGTCCAAATTAATTTCCTCTTTTGGATTTCACAGTTTCATAATATGATTTGGTGTATTTTTAGCCTATCCCAACTAAGACGAAGGATCGTGTGAGAATAAGAGTTAAGTTGAGAAGTGTAAGAAGGGATTTGGACCCTAGATCATTTTTAATCTCAAACCAACCCATGAATTGCGCTTTAGAAGGGAATTGATCCGGTGCTTCTCATTAGTGTTGATCTAGTGGAACTCTTCAATTAGGATTGATCCAAGGGCGGAGATCCTCCTTCTTACCCTTCTCACCATAACTCTCATCCTCACCGGAACCTAACCTTCCCAATTAATTTGGTATAAAAGGCTTGTTTATATTCTGGCTTTTCTTACCTTTTTTTCCACATGACTATGAACAATTTCACAACCGGTTAAAATGCATAATTATTTTAAAGAAATTAGCTGTTGTTTCTGTTATATTTATCCATGCATGTCAAGAGATACTAAGTAGATGGTATAATTTGAAGTATCTTGCTAAAGAAAAACAAGTGTACGTGTAAATACTTGACACTATTGGTAGCATGTTTACCTGCAAACTTTATTAAAAACTTAAGCAACCTGTGAGGCCCAACATTATATATTATGCTTGAAATTAGCATTTGTGATACAGGCCAAAAATGTTTGGAACTTCAAAGAATAGTATTCAAATTTCTATGATCAAATTTCAGGCTCGTGAATTCTCTAACGAGCTTCGTGCTGGTACTAAAGCACCAAAAGTTCCAAGTGTATGGTTTGAAGGTTCTACTGGTCCCAACCAAAATGTTAACAACATAGACACTTCCATGGTTTCTGGAGCTTATTCCAAAATGCTCGCGGTATTTATCCCACTCCTTGTTGATGAGGTGTGAACAAAATTATTTTCTCTCTTTCGTGCATGCACACTCTCTCTCTCTCTCTCTCTCTCTTCTCCCTCTCAAAGATTGATGCCTATTTACTCTGATTATAGTTTTTGGTTTCTAGATAAAGGTCCAAGTTTTATTTCCCTTTCTTCTATGCCCTTACTTTTACTGCTACTTAAACTGCAGAGTTCATTTTTATCACACTTCATGCGGTTCAAAATTTCTACACCTGATCCACCAAGTCATGATGATGATGCCAGTGATGATGATTTAGGCATGATGGAGATTAATGAAAATGATGTCAACCAGGGTATATATATGTTACATGAAGTTCTTTTTGTCCGTGTAATATATACATTTTGTTTGAGCTTTATATCTGGAATCATTATAGGTACTCTGGAGATGGGGCCGTTAAATGAATCACTTCGTGATTTACTAGAAGGAATACAAGTAATTACAAGAAGTTTATGGTTGATACTTAAATTGCACAAGCGACAAGACTTGCTCTTTAGAGGTTAATAAGTTTAAGTTTTCCTTATGTATCTGTGTTCTTTCAGGAGGACTTCTATGCAATTGTGGATTGGGCTCACAAGATTGATCCTTTGCTGTGCATTTCAATGCACGGTACAACAGAGCAATATATTTCTGATCAGAAAGTAGATGCAGCCGGATATGTGGGCCTCTTACTTGATGCTCTGGAAGATAGAATTACTACGCTATTTATTCGCGTAAGTTATAGCTGTTATGTTAAACAATGTAAAATTAAAAATCATCGAGAAGGTGGTGTACGTTCATCAACCAAGTTGTAACCTGTATTTCAGTTCGTAGATGAAGCCCGTCACCAGATAGAAAAGCATGACAAAAATGTTAAACAGACGGGTGTCATGTCATTCGTACCCAGGTAAAGTATTCATGTTCTCTAAACATAGTTCTTGTCACCTGTTCTTCACTCGGTGGTGCAATTTAATGTTAATCATTAGAATTGCTTTGTGAGAAAGAAGAGCTTCAGATTTTGTTAAGTATATCCCCGGGTCACAGAGCTGCACCCTCACACATACACATACTCAAAAATCTCGAACTAATGAGAATCTTAGATGTGACTAATGAGAGGATGAAAGCAACCATTAGCAACCTGTCAAAGAAACTATCCCAAACCAACCACTTATTACTATATGATAAAAGCAGCAGAGTTGCTTGTGTGAAAACCTGATGTGATATTCCAAAACACAACTGCAGTATTATAATGGTCCTAATAACCTTGTATATAAGATAAAACATATTAGGAGTAGAACATGACAAAGTGAAAATTTGTATCTACTTTGAAATAGAGCATGTGTCTGGATTTATCTTCATGTTAAATTTAAGTTTAAAAGCAATGACCTGTCTTGACATGGGTTGCCTATTAAGCTCTTATTCCAGTAAGTTTACAAGTTGTTGTCTCGATGAACAAGTATGCATATAGAGTTATCAAGAATGTAAGACTGACTAGTTGTTACAAGATATGTATGGAACAAGTTACTCAGACTACTAGCAAATGGAGACTCCTGCAAGTATACCATTATCAAGTAATAAAATAGTAAAATACCGAGTATCGATCCACAGAGATAGGACAAAGTTCAGATAGAAGTTTATAAAAGAAATGATTTCAGATACGAAATCGAAGCAATATTTTTAATGGGTTTTAACAACTGCTGATGTAAACAAGTAATTAAAAAAGCAAAGGTGTAGGGATCCATTAAGACTTTTAAACAAATAAATCTGGTAATACATTGCAAATAACTTGTCTTATTTGACCATTAGCTTTTCTAAGGCACTCTATCGAGGTTGTGAAAGTCACGCATATAGAGTTAAAGTCTAGGCAATGGCACAATCCATAAACCAACGCTCATATCTCCCCGACTTTGATTGCTTGATGAACAAAGTGTGATCCTCTTGACTTTGATTGTATCCTAGGGATACCATAGTTTTGGAGAATCTCCCAAACCATGCCCGAGGAGATTGTTTTAAACCATAAAATGTCTTCTTCACATTGTGTTTGTTCCCATCCTTTTCTCATGACCAGGTGGGACTTCCATGTAAATCTTCTCCTCGAGTTCTCCATGCAAGAATGCATTCCTTACATCAAATTGATGTAACTTCCAATCAAGGTTAGCAACTAGGGACAAAATTACTCTAAAGGTATTCATTTTTGCAACCAACGCAAATGTTTCCAAGTAATCGGTACCAAAGTCTGTGTATATCCCTTGGCCACCAACCTCGCTTTATATCTCTCGATCGATCCGTTGGCCTTATACTTCACAGTATAGACCCATTTACACCCTATCGGCCTTTTGCTTTTTGGCAATTTAACCCAATCCCAAGTTTTGTTCTTCTCAAGTGCCTGCATTTCAACATTTATGGCTTGCTTCCATTTTTCATCAGATAATGCCTCAGATAGGGTAGTGGGAACCAAAGTTGTTAAAGGCTCAAGGTGCACTTAGGTGCAAGGGGCTTCCGGGGCCTAGGCACGGGCCTCAGGAATGTGAGGCGCATCTTATATAAAAAAATTATATATATACACACACACACAGTTACACACAACTCAAATATGTAGCGAGTACAAGTCATCAGTGCAGCAACCAATGATACTTCGATAGAAGCAGAAGGGAGAAGGGTTTAAAGTGTGAGCCATGAGGGAGAAGTTTTAGAGTCTGGGTATTTAGAGAGAGGCTTGAAGTTATAAGAACCAGGTGTTTGATATTAGGGTTTGACTTATATCATCTATTTAGTAACTCTTTTTTAAGGCGTCTAGGAGATAAGAAGATTAGAAAACTTATCTAATATTGGGGTTTGACTTAGTATTTAGTAACTCTTTATAAGGCACGCCTAGGCCCACAAGGGGCCTCAACCAAGGCTCAAGGCCTTAGTGAGCCTCGTGAATACGCCTAGCCTCAACTTCAAAAGAGCCCAAGACCTTGAGCCTTAGAGCCTAGGTGCGCTTTTAACAACTATGGTGGGATGGTGATGGAGTTAAGGTTAACAAGGAAGGCTTTGTAGGTAGGAGAGAAGTTTTGGAAGGATAGGTAGTATGACAAAGGGTATAATGGTCTCTTTGTGCATTATCTCGTTCCCACCCTGAAGGCAATTGGGAGGTCTTGGTCACCTACCATAAATTTAGTTTCATTTTGTAATGATGGGTTAAAAGGATCCATTTCTCCATTTTTGTTATAACTATTGTAGCTGCTGAAGCCGCTATCGGACTCGCTATTGTTTCATCAATTTATCGTAGCAGAAAATCAACTCGGATAAATCAATCGAGTTTGTTGAATAAGTAATGTTATCATATAAATTAGAATTTTCATAAATTGATTCAAATCAGCACGTCTGGCACGTAAGGCATTATCATGTTATCCCAAACTTAAGAAATCAAACTATTATGACACTGTCAATCCAGAAAGAGATTAATAAAAACTCAGGGAACTCATCGATTCATTAGAAATTGTTACCTCATGTAAAGGACCTATGGTGGATTCTCGAACTTAGAATGTTCCTTTTTTGTCTTAAGTACACCAAGTTCTTTCTGAACCATATGTCTTCAGGATCGAGGATGTGTGTTAGGAGTAGGTTCAGGAACTATGCTGGATGTTACTAGTTCTGGAACTTGTCTGTGAATAGGATTAGAATTATGAGTAAGATCAGAACTGTGAGTAGGATCAGAAATATGGGTGTCAGGTTCTGGAATATGAGTAGGGCCATGAGTAGAATTAGGGACCGATTCTGGAATATGAGTAGAGGATTGAGAAAAATCAGACAATTCAAGAAGAAAGCTCTCCAAGCTTCCCTTTATCTTCCCTACGATTCTCCCCCTGAAGATAAGGTTGGGTGAAATAGGCATCTTTTTCACTAAATGTCACATCTCTTTACTCAAGAAACTTCTTGGATGGAGGATGATAACATTTATACCCTTTCTGGGTTGAGGAATATCCTGCAAAAAAACACTTTAGAGCCTGAGGGTCAAGTTTGCCTCTTTCTTGGCTACGGATATGAACAAACGAGACACACCCAAAGATATGAGGCACAAGGTTGTTAGAGATATATATGTTATGGTAAAAGCTCGGCTTTTGAATTCTAGAACTCCTGTAGGGAGTCAATTGATTAGGTAAGTGGTTGTGAAAATGGTTTCCCCCCAAAAATGTTTTGGCATGTTTCTTTGAAATAATAACGCTCTGATTTGGTCTAATAGATGTGCATTTTTCCTTTCTGCAACCCCGGTTTATTGAGGTGTTTTAACACATGAAGACTCATGGATTATTCCCTCTTTTTGACAGTAGGAAGTGAGGGTCTGATTGAAATAATCTCGAACATTATTAGATCTTAACCTTTTAATATTCACCCCAAATTGATTTTTTATCATCGAACGAAAGTTGGGGAGCACATAACTGACATTGGATTTATGCTTGAGCAAGAATACCCAAGTAACCCATGTACAATCATCAATGAACGTTACAAACAATTATGCACCAGAAATATTAGAAACATTAGATGGACCCCAAATATCGGTATGGATAAGATAAAAGCATAGTTGTGAAAAGAGGCACGCCTAGGCACTGAGGCGCAAAGGACTGGGCTTTTTCCATGTCAAAGCGAGGCAAGTTACTGAGGCGCACTAAGGCGCAGTGCCTTGGCTGAGGCGCAAAATGGGCTTAGGCACGCTTTATACAGATCTACCCTAAATTCAAATTAATTTTCTTGTCTCTTAGACTTCTACAAAAAATTGTTATTAAATAAGTCAAAACCTAATATTAATCATGTCTTTTAACCTCCTAGGCTTCTACAAAAGAGAGCTATTAAATAAGTCTATTCAATTCTAATCAGTCATCTTCTATGAACACCTCCCATACATGCGTCCCATACATTGTACTCTCCCTCACGCCTTTAAACCTTGTACTTCTTCCTCATGGCTCTCTTCTGGAATCTGGATTTCTGGTTGCTACTTTGGAGGCTTATACTTCTTCCTCACTAAGGGCTCTTTTCTGGACTTCTTGTTGCTACTTGCTACCTCTTGGCGGTTTCTACATACAAGTATCAAGTATGTATATTACTATATCTTTGGCTGCCTTTTGGAAATTGAAATTGAACTGTGTTTTATATGATGGTATTTGAGTTGATATTACTACTGTTTATATAATGGTATTTGAGTTGTGTATTACTATGTGTGTGCGTATATATATATATATATATA